GGGGGGGGGGAGGGGGGGCTCCTACAAGGTGTGTCATCACTCATAACACCAGTTGGAGCGGAGGCGTTGCGCGAAATTTCTTCTTGTCGCAAAACGCATTGACAGCCCAAGTTCATGAAAAGCAGCAACAAAGAAAAGCCAGGAGAAAGACAACCAACCGCAAAACAACATATTTGTGCACCGTCATGACGGGAAACGTTGAAGCTGCCTTCACGGCGACTACCGGTTGTAAAGCACACCTCGCTCTCGTGCCACATATCATGGGACGCACTTCAGAGAGACGTGGATTCTAAACGTTCACCGCCGTAGGGTCAATCAAGGATATGTCATGTAGCGATTATCGCCTGGGCGCGTCGACAAAGTAGTAATCCGCGGAAGGAAGTAGGGTGGGCAGCATCTAGCCAAGACCCAACAAACATACTTGTGCCAGACATAGACAGGTCTGTCCCTTCTGCAGCTGCACCATACTCGCTGGGAACACCTAGGCTTCGCTTGAACAACCAACTGCAGCAAGTCGGTACATCACGACATTTTTAACATAAAGCAATCTCGACGGTCAAGGTAAATTACGGGGGGGGGAAGTCTGCCAAGGGGCTGGGGCAAGGGCAACTACAATCACGACCGATCACACTTTGCCATGAAAAACAAGTACCGACAATGTTGGAGTTATCCACGTTCTAGCAATACGAGGACCCAAAAACACTGCTGATGGGGGATCGTCCTCTCCATTTCTGACGGTGCGTCAGCACAATTTCGACGGCGGATATCGTACCACAAAAAAAATGACACGAGAGAAACTAAAAGGGATTAGACAGAATATTCTGAACGAATAAGTAAACAAATAAAATAAAAATGGAAAATCAGAACTTTTAAATATTTGTCATTTGTAGGAGTGTAGCTGCTCAGTTTACGAGCCTTGGTCACACTTTGATAGTAAATTATTAGGACTAACCGATGTTAAACGTAGCAAGGCTAATAGGTTTCACGCGAGCAAGGCTAGGTTGCTCAACCCACATCTATCCTAACCCTAACCCTCACCCACGGCCAAAGCACGGCCTAGCGGTCGCGAACTGGGCGGCACGCGGCTGCGCCGCGTGCTCGGAATACGGAACGGGACAGGGAAGAGGGCGCTGGAGAGGAATCGGCCGCCAGAACCAGCGCCGAAGAACGCCCGACCAATCAGAACGCGTTGGTCCTAAACATCTAATATCAAGGTGTAAACACTACTCCACTTTACACCAGCAGTATTTGCAAGCATTGATTGGCCGCTGACGCAGCGCTGTGCTGCCAGCAGAGGAAAAAACGCTGGGTGCCCGTTGCTGCGTCTTGCGTAATCAAACCACGTGTCGAGGGATACGTGCCTGCGTGCGAAACAAGCGCCATATCCTCGACTTACTGCTGTGCTTCCTACGCACAAAACGCGTACTGCTGCTGTAGTCGTCGAGATCACCGTTTTCGGATTGAACAGAAAAAAACGAAAATCAACAAGGGGTGGTCCAAAGTCTCTGAAGTCCCGGGATCCAGCGAAAAACCACTTCATCATTCGTGAATATCGGCAAAATATATTTTGACACATCTCTTGAGGTTGCTGGCACTGGCGGAAGGATACCGCCTGATCGCTCACAGCAGTCTGGAGATGGACTCCTTTGAGGGATTTAGTCTTATAATATTCCAGTCTTGGCTGGGCTTCCAAGAACCTCGGATTTTTTTGTTATCAGAGGCATGTGTATACATGTGTACACAAGGCATGCATGCATTACTTTTGCTTTACACAGCAGATTAATCAAATTTGTAATTTTTGGTCGCGCATGTTGCCTGAACCCCCCCCACCCCCCCCCCCGCCAAAAAATTTGGCGTAAGGTGTGTGTTGTTTGCGCGGGGTTTGGTGGCGAATTCACACGAAGAGACATATCCCGTTGGTACCATCATGATCCATGAGCCGGCGGGAGCGTTCCTCCTGTGGGTCCTGCTGCTTCAACTTCACGCCAAAAAACAGTTCCGATCTCTTGCATTCAGTGCTAACTCCACCCTTCCTGAGCATCCGCAGACAGGTCCAACCACCGACTCGGAAGCCTTACGGGTGACATGCTTGAAGTACATGAAAAATGCTAAAATAGAGGTACTTTAATTAAACGATATTTGTTAAGCTTAATGAAGAACTATAGCGTCATTTATATAAATATGAGGCCAACGCAAGAGGACCCAATCACACGGGGCTTGTGATTCGTTGCGTGGAAGGCGCTTCTCCAACCCCAACGGCGGCGCGGATTGTCGTCGGCCTTTATTTCAGCGCAGTAAAAAAGCAAAAATACGACCGATCCCCAGATTCATGCGAGGCGTCCATCCATGGATACCCCGTCGTTCTTTTGGTGATATTATTGCCGGTGTACCCTTCTCAAAAACACTCTCGTACGTGGTAGGATCTTGGTTGTAGATTGGTTATGCCTAAGCTTCGAGTTTGAGCTGAGGAAAGGAGGCCTCTTCTAGAGAATTTTTCGCTTCGAGTTACTGGTTCTTGCCTTGAATCGATACCAGCTCATAGATACCATCATGTAGGTCTGATAGCCAGCGACAAGTTTGTATTTATTGTTCCGGGTGCGCTCGCCCTAAAACTATTTTTATTCTTGTTGTGCTTGCCACCAAATACGCATGTGGTCCCGCCTGTGCTCCCACGTAGTAGTCCAATACTCTTCCACCACGCCCTTCAGCTCGTCGATGACGACTGCGTGCAGGCAAAAATGACTTGCTCTGAAAATCTCGATATCTCGATCAATAAAATATTTCTTATCGAAAGCCTATCTGCAAGAGGAAACGCGCAAGCGTTGTGGCGAGACTTTCTCTCCTCCCGGGTCGTTGTTCCTCGCTGTGGCTCTTTGACGCTTCAATAGCATGCCGACTGTTGTTGTCGTTTTGACCTGGCTCCTCATCTACTTTCTGCTCGTGAGGGCGGTCAGCCGAATTCTCCGTCGTCATAAAGGATACGGTAAACGAGAAAAAAAAAGACCGCAAAAAGTCGCCGACGCATCATGACGAACAACCAATAACAGAGAGAAAGAGCCTGTGGCCACGGGAATTTTTTTTCCGTACTGAAGAGAGAGTACTCGGGCGGAGCGCAGATATGATATGTATGTTGGGGGTCGGAATGTTCTGTGTACTTGTATGCACACATCCGGGTCAAATCGCAACAACAGCGGAGACGGCGACTGATCTCGCCTCAGGCCACCAACAAGCTCTGCTGAATCATGCGCCCTTCCCTGCCAGACTCGTGGCTGGGGAAGACAAGCCGAAACAGCGCTCGGCAAGTGGCGAGCTGCCCGCAACCAGCGCGAATCTGAAAATGAACGAAAACAAATGAGAGCAGAATCTCCACCCATGTAGAGATCATACAAAAAACAACAGAATACGTGATGGAACTTTCGAGCTCGAAAAAGTCTCACGCGTTGCAATTTTCCAATTTTCATATGTCTGTTGTCTGACTCTGGGTGTGTGGGACCATACCAAGCAAAAACAACATTGCCGTTGCTGTACCTTGATCTTCTTCAACGAGCAGCTGTCGCATGCCGAACGCCGCCTCGTGCCCTCCCCGTCCTCACCCGATGCTCCCGTCGCACCGGCAGAGACACGCGCTTCGTGCTCCTCGTTCTGTACACGCTGCTGCTGACGCGGCTGCTGTTCCTCTTGCGCTCGTTGTTGTTGCCCTCCCTCCCCCGTCTGCTGCTGTGCCCTACGTTCTTGCGGTACGCATGCTGCCGCCGACGGCGTTTCACTCACAGATGTGTCCTGCTTGTGCTGCTGCTGCTGCTGCTGCTGCTGCTGCTGCTGCTGCATGCCGCATCCAGGCGCAGGCTGCAGCCGGGCAGAGGAAAGTCTCTCACGACCTCTGTGCGCGCGGTTGTCGCTTTGGAAATTGGAGCGGGTAGATGGGACGGGTGTTTGTTTTATAGCTCGTTGGAGGCGGAGTGGAGACAGAGAGACGCAAGAGAGAGGGATGTGGAGAGAGATAAGAGCCTTTTAAATGCGAATCTTCAGATTTTTACTTGAAATAGAAAAAAACTGGGCGGGGGGGGGGGGGG